CAGTAGATACTTTGGGTCCAAAGGGGTTCTTATATAGGTACTTTGGGGCCTAAGTATATGCTATGTAGGTACATGGACCCTTTGGGGGATCATTAGCTTCGCAACTCATGCAGCATTGCACTATGTAAATAAAAGAGTTCACCCATCGCCCAAGGCGTATCTACTCCTGCACGAAAAGCTGAGGCCCATGCAACAGCTCCATTCATCAGAACCTGCAGCGTGAACTGCTTATAGGCGTGTACTTCAAAGGAGCTCAAAATGCGGTGTACCCCACAGATACCATCTGCTGAGGTAAAGAAACCTTTTGTATAGTTGCAGTGGTTACCTTGTCTAGGGTCATGATATAGCACCGTCCAAACAGGAACTGCGTTGAAGATTCAGGGAGGAAGTCTAAACTCGGAACCCTCAACACCAAGCCAAAATTCTGAGCCTTCAGCCCGACACGCTAACTAAACCCTAATCCCTGAAGCCTGTAAAACATGAGCCCTAAAGAGCGAGCCCTGCACTCTAAAAGGTAATTTCCCAAAATCTGGAGACTCCGGAAGATAGACCCCAAGATTCCACGAAAAGGTACCCCTAATTGTCGGAAACCTTTTAACGCCCCTAACCTCTAAACCTTAAACCCCAGAACCCTGAACCCTAGATACCCTAAACCTATCTCCAACCCCAATACACTATATAGTAGGTTCCATTGTCTTTTCCATTCTCCATATAAACCCGTATAACCCCCTTATATCCCCTACATAAACCCTAAACCCTAATCTCCAACCTCTTGTTCAGTCCCAGTTTCCACGAGCCACGGGCTGGTAGCAAAGGTTGTGCTAGGGAGCCGGAAGACTGCCATAGTCACCTTGGAGTTTAGGGTTTAGGATTTAGGGTTTAGGGTTTAGGATTTAGGGTTTAGGGTTTCGGGTTCAAGGTTTAGGTTAGGTTTTCAAGAAAAACCTCGAAACCCAACACTTTTTAGGGCACCTAATTTCGTATATAATAGATACGAGACATGAACTTAGACATCCTAAGAAAGGGTAGGGTATAGAGGTTTAGGTAGGGGTTAGGGCTGAGAGTTTAGAATTTAGGCCGCAGGGGTTTGGGTCATCGGGCCTGTGTTTCGGATGTAGGGTTTAAAGCTTGGGATTTAGGATCTAGTCTTTACTGCTTACAGCCTAGGATTCAAGGTCAAAAGTCTAAGATTTAGATTTTGAACTTGGCCTTCAGGGCTTAGCATCTAGGATTTTGGCAATTGGGATTTTTGGGGTTGAGGATCTGGGGCTGTGAAGACTCATGAAGAGGGGCCCCGCCAGATTTTGTGTTTTCTTTAACTGGGTGGTTTAGGGTTTAGGGTCTACGGAGAATTTATGACCCCCCTAAACCCTAAACCCTAAACCCTAAACTCTGAACCCTTAAAGGGCTATTGGGGTTGAAGACCAAGTTCAGGACAGTTTTGGCTGGAGGCTTAACCGACGCTATGACCTGAGGTAAGAAGTCGTCTGGGTTTAGGGTTTAGGGTTTAGGGTTCAGGGTACTCCTTAAAGGGGGCATATACAGGGGATTATATTAGGGGAGTATTGTAGGGGTCATTTAAGGGGGATACTCGAGGTTCAGACTATAGCTAGCTCAACCCACTTATCACTACCCAAATGAGAGAGATGGGTGGGGGGGCGTCGCTAGTACTCCACGTGTAGGACTTGGTTGCCATTTTGTGAAAACTGTGCTGACAAAATCACTGGGCTTTTGCAGGTCTTGTACTTGGTGGGGCTACTTAGGGGTCCTAGAGGCTTGAGGCTTAGTTCTTTGATTTTAAGTCAAGGGTTCACGCTTCACAGCTTTTAAACTCCTAACCCTAAACCCTGAA